GATTGTAGGCGGGACCTTCTGCACTTCCTACTTTCATTGTGTTCGTGGGCGCACTTTCTTTCGTTGTCCACACATGGATGCCGAGCCAAAGGATATTTTCACCGGAGCATCGTCAGCCATGCGTACAACATGCCTAAGCCAGCGCTATCGCTGTATTTTTTTTGGGCGTAACTATGTCCATATCGTTAAACAAATTTTACAGTTCGTCATTCCATATTTTTGGTACTCGACGCCCATGCGAAGAGGGTCATAGATGTTGCGTAAAATAGCTTGCTCGAAATCCCGCAAAAAACCTAATCATCATTGCTCGACATCGTCCATGTTTCTGCTCCATATAAAAGGACGAACATGACGAGAGGTTTTTAGAGCGTAATTTTTATTCGTTGAGAGAGGGATTTGCTTTTCACTTGCCTGCCGAGCCCAGAGTAGCACCTGTTGGCAAGATCTGTTATTCGCTTGATCTCCAGTCTGATATTGTTCGTGGTATTTATGCTGGATCCTATGTGACAAAATCTTTCACTACTTCAAAGCAACAATGACGTGAGTCCCAAACCGCGAAGACTTTTTATGTGTTGCCTACTATTGTCTTGTCCTCGTTTAGAAAACTGTGGAATCATCGAAATTAGATTAAAAGGCCTTTGGGCTCTAAGTAAATTTCGATTTCGACGAAAATAAAGCGGATAATTTCCAAGCGTACGGCTGGTATTCCCACCTGTAACTCGCCCTAAATGAACAGATCACAGTATCGTTGATATGAATAACGCCTTTTGGAAAAAATACAATAACTATTGTAAGGACTCTGCCGATCACCGTACTTTGTCGCTTTCAAAGATAGGACCAACTCGGCCAAGACCTATAACTTCTCTGTGTTAAGTCATTGTTAACCGACTTGTGAAACTGAGTATTTTGGTATACTTGCCTCTCCGAAAGGATACACACTTTCGCACCCTATCGCAGAGGTCTCTCAATAATAAAAATCCCTAGCACTCCTGCTTGGAGCTTACTTATATAATTGCGTTGCCCAGAAATAACGTTCCGCCTATGGGCACTGCCTTTTCCTCATGCAGAGCTTTTTAAAACTTTCCACAAATATTATATGGACGCGCGCACAGCAAAAGCTCGCTCTACCCACTACGGTTTTATATGAATGCCCACGGAATAAAAGCTATCTCTTTCCATAACTAATCCCAAAACGTAACCCCTTGTGTTGTGTTTTTTACGCTGTCTATAGATTTTATAACAGTCACGGCCAAAATACATATGTATATCGTTTAAAAGCATTCTGGACGAAAATAGGTTGAAACTTCTTCTGATCATGCCTGTTAAATCTCCGCGCGACCGTCACTGGTAAAGAGCTTTCTAGATAGTTGCCAGAATTGACAATTGCCTTACGAAAGGCTTTTGTCTTTTGAAAAAAGCTCTCTCAACACGTCCAGGGTGTAAGTTCAAACATAATTTATGTGGAACTGAAGGCCTGAGTAACTTGAATACCATGTTTTGTTTTTTTTCATTCAGAAAATCGCTCCCTTACCATTAGCCTACCTAACGCTCCGCCATTTACATAAATTCATGCAACAAACAGTGGGAGGGGAACCTTAACCTTCTAGCAGCCAGCATAATTCAAAGATATCGCAATAAAACCCGCATAAATGACATTTACAGACCATAAGCGACAGACAGACGTAGCAGACACAAACGTACGCGTAGCGGCTGCAAGTACCTATAGTTCGCTATAGCGAACTACCCACACAGCAGAGTTGCACTTGTGCCACCGCAAGTAACAACAAAAGCAGTGAACAAAAATGCAACAGCTACATATGAAGACTTTAAAAAATATTACAATCAGCAAATCGACTTTGCAACGTTCTGCCCTGTGGTGTAGTTTGAACAAGTACTTGCAATGGACCCACTTACAAACAGACAGACGTATGAACGGATGTAAACGTCGCGCACACGCGCTTGTATTTGAATGGTAAAAAAAAAGAAATTTGTCGAAAAAAATTATTACAAAAATTGCATAAAGCAAGTAAGAAAATATTTTTACAATTTTTTTTTCGAGTGGGTTGATGACTTTTTTGCTGCAGCACTTCTGCGTCTTTGCGTCCGGTTGCGACGCGGCATATTGCACGCATGCGCAGCAATCATTCGAAGTTGCCGTGGCGAGTTTTTGAATGAACTTTGCTGTTGCTTTGCGTTGAATGTGGTGGTGTAGTTGGTGTATAGCGAGTGTGGGTTTCATTCATGCAAAGGCACTTGAGAATAAAACGATTTACAAAAAACGAAAAATAAGCAAAAAATTATAAATTTTATGGCTCAAATGCAGCGTGTTTTGTAACTTCGTATTTCTATTCATATTTTGTTAAATGCAATTTCAATTCGTTTTCTCTTGTGTGTGCGCACTCGAATCGGCGTTAAATGGTGTGGTGACAAAAAAAATTGCATTTGGGGTTACCAAGTTTAGGTCTACATGTATACAAATTTATTTATATACACACTTAGTTACCAATCGTGTTGACTACTCAGCTGGAGCTGGTTTGGCTGAAGGTGTTTAATTCTTTTTTGCAAATATTTACATTAGACCGTACCAGAAAAAAAGTTTGCTGGCAAAACAGTTCGAAAGACTTTTGTCGCTTGCCAACTTTCGGGGTGAAAAGCTCTTTTGACACAAATCACTTTTAGCTCTCGTCGCTCCAACAGTCGTAATGGCCAAGTGAGGGAAGTACCGGTGTGCCTTTCGAGAGATCCAGGTTCGAAATCTCAGCCAGCGAATTTTTTTTTATAGTTTTTTCTTTTTTTTAATCTAAATAATCTTACAATAATTCGATTTTATTCTTAAAGATAAAGATATATATTCTTTTAATTTCATTTAATTTTTAGAAACCCATTTTATTTATTTTTTTAGTGGTATAGTTTTAAAAAGAAACATTCGTTTTTTTAGTTTCATTAAATATTTAGATACTTATTTTATTATTTTCTATTTTTTAATTAAATATTTTTTATTTTTTCAATTTAGTTTTCTTTTTCGTTTTGGATTTTTCTGTTTTAAAAAGAAAAATAATTTTTTTTATTTTATTTATATTTTAGGATATTATTTTGTTTTTGTCTTTTTTTATTTATACTTCCTCTTCATTTTAAGATTTTGTTTTAAAAATAAAAATATATATATTTTTTTAATTTCATTTAATTTTTAAGTAGGTACTATTTTCTTCCTTTTTTGTATAAGTTTTTCTCCTATAATTTAATTTTCCTTAAATTTTTTTATTTTATTATTTTTAAATGAAAAATATGTTATATTTTAATTTCATTACATTTAAAAAAAAAATATTTATTTAATTTTGGTTTGTTTATATTTTATTTTATTTATCTTTTTTTAATTTAATTTTCTTTTATTTATTAGTTTCTATTGTCTTAGAAAGAAAGAAATATATCTACACATATATATTTTTTATTTAATTTTATTAATTTAAAAAAACGTATTGCTAAAAGCCGAAAAGCATAACGCAAAGACCTCCTCGTTAGCAGATTTTTTAATTAGTATTTCGAAAGACAGTAAAGAGCTTTTAAGATAATTGCCAGAATTGATAATTGACGTTTGTCTTTCAAATGACTGTGGTGAGTTGAAACATAATTTCTAGATGTCTAAAGTATTTTTGCAAAGCAATAAAAAAAAGCTTTTGCCCTAACGTAGGAGTCGCCTTTTTACATTGTTCGTCATATGTTCGGTATTAACAGTCGGATCTTGACTTTCGATATATCGTTGTTCTTGTCCAATGGAGACAATTTTTTTGTTTCAAAGTTCATTGACCGCAAGTATTTACCCACCAGATCACAGTTCTTATTACCTTAACATACCACCCAGTCAGTAAATTAAAGCTCTAAAAAATCGTTAAATGTTGCGAAAAATTTTAAATGGCGCTGGGGTTGACACTTTTTTTTTTAATTGCCTTTCAAAAATAATATAGCCAGGGATAAGTGGCGAACTTTTTTTCTTTGCTTGGAAGGTGCTACGGTCTAATGTACATACATACAAATGTGTTTGAATTTATTTCTATGTTTTTTTTTTTTATTATATAATTGCGTGGGCCACAAAGCATGCAGCTTGCTAACCGGTTATCGTTGCAGCATAAAAATATAAACAAAAATTTACATAGCAAAATTGCCCGAAAAAAATGCATATGAAGTCAAAAAGTCTAGCTGCAAAATTTGCCGGCGTTCTCAAACAATTTTTTTTATTTCTTTTATGTTTTGTTGAGTTGCATTTATTGCGCGCACTAAATACTTTTTTTTTTATTTAAGTAGCCACTCTTTTTTTAAACGTGTTTCTTCCTCTATCCCACTACCGTACCCACGCAAAGAGTAGAAAGATCATTATTATTCTTTTTTCCTGAGCTAGATGAATTTTCCGCCTTTTTTGGCTTCTAAGGAAGTTTAAATTTGCATTAAAATGCGCTTGAATTCTGAGGGCAAAATAAACGACTGAAAGCAATTTCCGCTCTTGAGGAGCACGAGTTTCGAAGGAAGTGCTGAAGAAGAAGAATAAATTGTTAATTTGCTCTTTATTATTATGAGCTTTAGTGCACTGATACTTCTTATGTTATAAAGCGTTTTGCAATTGGCGCTCCTCAACTCTGAGCACTCACCAGCTCTGTATGCTGACTGTGCCGCTCCCTTCTCTGAACCGGCTTATTAAAAGGAAATTGAGTAATTGGGCTTCAAGCATAAAAAGTGAGCTTAAGCTCCGACTCGCTTTTCAGTACAAATTCTTGAGCTCAAGCTCACTCCATAAGAGCAAAAGTTGACTTAACGCGCGAAAATTCGCACAGCGGTAAAAATAATTTTTCATGCCAATAATGGATTTTCAAAAACCTATTAAATAGAAAAATTTTTAAACTTTTTTCGTTGACCAACATCCGACTTCCTTTTAAGCCTTTCATTTAAATTTTGTTTCACCTATATTATCTGTATTCTAATTTGCATTGCTTTCTTCTAACTAATTTCAGATCTCCAATCGATTCGACGCTTATTGGAGCACGACAGCAGCGGTACGATATGCCCCAGTTGTCGCATCTCTTTCGACAAGGGCAAACGGCGGAAATTGATCGATACCTGTGGACATGAGCGTTGCTATTCCTGTATGTTTCGTAACGATCAGTGTCCGATGTGCATGAATAGTAACAGTTCGTTGAAAGGTAATTATTTACAAATAAGGAAAATGGAAAGTGTTATAAAAAGTATCCAATGTATTACTAGTTAAATACTTAAGTAGTATATGCCTCTTTTTGTGCTTAGGCATTTCTTTTTACGACTGATACTTCATTGACCTTTCAAACTTAATTTTAATTACATACGTTTTTGCTTCATCCTAATGTAAGTGGCATTATTTTCTTATTCCCTCACCTTTTGCGTCCAATTTCATCTACAATGACTCCATGAAATAAGAGTACCTATTTAGCTTTATTTATTGCAAACGGAAATCGCTTTACAGTAGAAACAAATCTTAAATCAGTTGAATTAGCCATAAAATGTCAACAACACCTTTCTCTTTCGCGACTATAAAAATCGTTAATAGCTTGCAAAATACTTAGTAAATATACGCATACACACATACGTTGCAAGTACACAACGTAAATGTTAGTTATATTTTTTTTTTTTCTTGAACACGGTCCGCTCATTTGCAAATTGTGGGTTTTTTGAACGACTGCGAAAAAAATTTATTGCCAGGTAGTTGGTGAAAAGAAAGGCATTTAAGCCCTGTCTAATATTGAAACTTTGAAATAAGAGCGAATGCCCCGAATAGAGCGTATTTTGGTAGACCTCAGAGAATATGTATTTGGCTAACTAACTGCATAGCGATTCCACTAGCCTAGTCTAAAGCGCAGTAAAAAACTGCAATGAAAATTTTAAGTTTTATAGTGGAAGAGAGGAGCTTTGGAATTTAGATCACGGAAAAACTTTTGAGTTCCCTTCCTTAATAGGTAAAATTTGGCGCTGTAACCGCCTAGGCGAATATGGCCGAGTTCAAGAAAGCACGCCAATCGTTTCTCTTCTGTGCCAACTGACGCCAATTGAAAATGCCAAGTAAAGCCAAGTCCTTCTCCACGGTATATGTAGGAAATACGATGGTTCTTTCACATGCGAAACCGAGGGAAAGGAACAAGAACTCGTGGCATCGCAATCGAAGTATGCCTCTCCGCCGGACTGTGTGGAGTGACAATCAACGTAACCTAACCTAACCTAACCGCCAAAGACGAATTGGTATGAAAAACCCGAGAAATGGACTTAGAGTTACATATGTGAACAGATAGATTGAAATAGAGGTATGCACTGCGATCAAGAGATCTATTGTGCTCTCAACTATTCACAGTACCTCATTTTATCCTAGAGAACCCAGAAATTTGATGAGATCTCTAAGGGTTAGCGATTGTATAATTTCTTCACTCGGCCAGAGTTGGCCTAGGTACCTCTCCCGTGCAAAAGAGCCTCCTCAGTCACCTCGCTAAAACGACATAGGTCATTCGACCAGGTCCCTAGCATGCGCAGGTGACCTCTTCTTAGTCTGCAGTGACTCTTCAGAAAACATGTTATTATTCTTAACCTCTCTTTGGAGGAGGTTTATTATTGCCCTGTACCTTGTAAGGTTGTAGCTTCTCAGTAGGCATTTAGCCTGGCGTAGACCTGCGGTGTTACGCCAGTGTTGACTTCTTAACCTGTTCCTCTCCTTCCTGAGCTCTGTCTTGATTGTTCTAGATCCGATCGCAGGGAAGGCCTAGATCCGATCGCAAGGAAGGCCGACGAGGCGGCTGCAGTTCTGGCCACCCAGTCCGCTCCATTGTTGCCAAAAACTCCTATGTAGGTCACATGCCCAAGTTAGCTGTATATCATTGTGCTGCGCCACGATGTTCAGCCTATCAATGCACTCAATAACAAAGGAGGACTTGACCCCAAATGATGAGAGGGCTTTGAGAACCGCCTGGCTAACGCTCTATATTAAAATTTTCTCATTAAGGTAATTTATGCGTAGGTTAATCTCTGCACACAGACTAATAGCATATACTTCCGCTTGAGAGATACGCGGTTATGCTCCCATGGGTACCGAGAGCTTTAGCCTTGGTCCGAAAATGCCTGCCCCACTGCCGTAGGGAGTTTTGGAGCCGTTTTTCCACTGCCAAAGCCTTGATCCTTTTCAAACTGAGAGATGACAGATTGCCTAGAGTTGATTATTTAAACTAAATAAGGGTTAGACAGTCCGGAGGGGTAGCCTGTTTTGATTCCGCAACACGCTTTTCCATCTTAAAAAGGGAAATCTAGACACGAATAATCTTTTCTACAATTCTTTGTCATATTTGGATGGGGGGAAAACATAAGCGAAAGTGATATTAGCTTATTTAGAAGCAACTATTGTATGTTTACAATTTGTAGATATCCAACCTGTTCTCTAATTTATGACGATTTTTAAACTCAAAACTTAGAACTCATTAGAACACCCATTAAAGTGATTATCTATGCTTAAGCCGCACCCACACTACCAAATCAATGAAACTAATAACCAGTCTAATGATTGTCTTGCTGCACCAGCACTAATCGATGCAATAGCTAGTAACTAGTTACTGGTATATTACGAGTAATTGGTAAGCTAAACTGAATTGCTACAAACTATCAGCAACAACAACAACAACAACAATAGGGATCAGTTTACCAATCAATCGTTCATTACAACAATAGGCAGTGATTAGAAGTAAGTAGAATTCGTGTACATTCAGTGTCATTAAAACTCGCTTTTTTGAGCTGTTATAAAGGTTGTTAAGCGGCGTAGAACAAAATTGAAAAATAAATCGCCGACCAACACTATTTATATATATAGATAGCAGCAGATATAGTTGCTAAAGTACTGTGGTAAAAAAAAAAACAAGGAATTATGTAAAGTTTGCGAATTTGAGAATTGTATGTTGTGTGAGAAAAACGAATCGGCATTAACTACCTAAGCACATTTATAAGTATGTATAACTAGTAACTCTAAGTGGCGGCTTTCGAGCTATTTGAAAAGAGGTTAAGAGCAGCACCAGCGGTTAAGACTTGCGGCTAACACACACACACACACTCAGTTAGTCAGTCAGTCATTCACTACTCACGTCAACTGACTACAGACAGCTTCTGCAGTTGCAGTTCTATATAACGGCTGTATGTATGTATGTATGTAGTAGAGGAGTGCAGTTAAAATGAGCAAAAAAGCGTTTGGCTGCTGGCTGCCGATCTTTTGAATTGCAGATCGTTTGCACAATTGATCGTTTGGTTTGCTATTTGCAGTTGGGCATTTACTTAGATTTTTTTTTTTTTTGGCTGTCCATTGCCCTGTTAGAGTCTATTGGCTGGGTGTACGCCACCAGCGCCGATGATGCCGCCGCCTGTAGTGCAAATTGTTGCAGCTGCGTGCTGTGCAATTTGAAATCGATCTCCTTCACTCTCGATCGTTTCACAGATGCAGCAGCAATTCATTGCGCATGTAAGTTTTTTATTTCCATTCCACTTTTTTTTTCTTGTACGTATTTTTTTTTCAAGCTGCAAGTAGCCATCAAGCCTTGTTAGTTAGACATTTTTTTTATTGAATTTGCATGTCGTAAATTTGCATAAACACGGTGCGATTTATCAATTGGCTTTGTTCCATCTATTTTGTTGTTGTTGTGGTTTTTGTTGTTTTATTGCATTTGCTATATTGCAATTCTTGCTGTCATGTTATTTGTTTAACATTTACCGAACAATGTCTATGGTGGAGTGTTTTGTTTTTTAGTTGTTGACATTTTGTTCTTTAATAAGAACTCCACATGACCGAGGTTTCGCCCAGGGATTTCAGAAATATTTTCTAGATATTGGAGTTGCCATGCTTCGAGATTCCATGTGAAGCGATTACAATTACCATCGCCATTACAATTACCACTATCATTGCCATTATCAATACGATCACCATAACCACTACCATTTCGATTACAATTACTATTACCAGTAGCATTATCATTACCACTACCATCATTACTAGGACTAGCGCAATTATGATTACCATTCCCATTACGACTACTATTACCATTACGATTACAATTACTATTACTATCACCAGTAGCGTTATGATTACCACTGCCATCATTGCCTTTACCACTATCAGTACCAGTGCAATTATAATTACCATTCTCATTGCCATTAAAATTTTTATTACGATTACCATTAAAATTGTCATTACCATGACTATCACCACTACTACGCATTGTACTTGGATATTCTATTAATGTTAAGGTGGTTGACCCAAGCAGGTGCACTGTTGGATCAGTACTATTGGAACTTTGTGATCGCACTACGACTGTTAACTGCTAAGCTCAAGCAAAATACGTTAAGTACCAAGAACAAAATTGTACAGGTTTCAGATGCTAATCCGGAAGAGCTGACCAAGATTAGTTAAGAAGTGAGTTCCAATATGTCTACACCGTAGCCTTTTAAAAGTTGAGCAGATTAAGAGAAAGTGCTGAGATGACTCCACCTCATCATCCTCTAGACATAGCCATTGTAAGAGATAGTTGCAGCTTTGAGAGCCCAAGATGAACTCATAACCGTCTGCGCTTCGGCTTCGGCCAAAAAGATCGTGGCCTTATTTTCTTAAAGTGCTCGATCAGTTGATACGAGGCCCATTTGTCCAAGAGCCGTTGGCCAGTAAACAAAAGTACCCCTGCTGTCCTCTTCTCTCGGTGAGGCCGAGACTCGCCATTTGCAGCGTAATTTCCTTCAAAATCTTTATGGCTTGGCACTTTGATAAATCTGACTAGGAAATGGTCAAACGCGAACGAAAGGGAGTTCAGCCAGCTTAGAGTCCAACTTAAGTGAGCACAATGCCCTCATTGTCGCTCGGCAGCAAAGTATATGTATATTGATCGTTTTTTTCGCCGACGTCGCGCAATTTAGCAGCCAATAGACTGCTTCTTTAATGGCAATTTCCTTTGCCTGGAGACCGCTATAGTGACCTTGAATACTAAATTGGTAATCCATAGCTTGCTCCGTGCAAAATACTCCTCCACGAACTCTTACGTCAAGCTTCGACCCATTCGTGTGGAAGTTCAGCGGAGCCGCCTTCTAACTGCTACTCCCCGTTATTGTTGCCAGTCGATGCCAGTTATTCAACCAGAGTGCAGACAGGTCCTTCTACATTTGGTTCTTCCGTCTTTTTCGTTTTCGCTCTTGGCTTTTGACGAAACGTTCGTTTAAGACCTTCCGTCAACTTTTGATTCCATATTTAAACTGCGTGTTCGATGGCGATGAGGTATTAATAGCTATAAGGTATTTAATTGTGAATATAAAAAAAAAAATGTTCGTATCATTTATCTACTCTTCATACCGCTTGGAATCTCTTTCACGCGTTTTTATTGATTTTACTATTTTTTTTATTATATTTGTCTATTCTTCTCTCTCTCTCTCTCTTTACATTAGATGTTGACTGCAATAGCAATGCTCAAGGCTATGACACAGGTATCGGCGGTTCGACATCGACAATTGTTAGCCCTCTGGGTTCGCCACAGCCGCAACTGAGATCACAAGTGCAACAGCAACATCATCAGCAACAACAGCAGCTACTACAGCTACAACAGCAACAGCAGCAGCGTACAAATGCTGCCGCACTGGCGCGTTATATGCAGGTGAGTTCGAACAACAAAAACAAATGCATACACAAAAAACAAATTTCAAATGTGCCGGTACTGTATACTCCGCCTAGTTGGGCATGTTAAATTGCACATTTTTTCTATTATGCGAGGAAAGCGATGAAAATCGGGATTATCTTAACTGAAAAGTTCGTATTTTGGCTGAATTATTAGTTAAAATAAGTGTGAAATCCGTTTCAGCGGGTTTCAATCAACTGGGAGCTACTGTACTTCCAATCCATCTTCAACTCGCTAATCCACTCACTCGGCGGAGCAATAGAAATGCTCGTTACAAAAATTATTATGCGCGATAGTGTTAAGTGTTTACCTCATTTGGCGTGTGATCGAGTACCGACCAAATAATTGTGGTATGTACAGGGTGGTTCATATATTGGTTTCTTTTTTAGAATTAAAAAAAAAAAAAAACATTTTTTTCGGTTGTTAACCCAGTTTTCCAAGACCTTGGTGGCAGTTTCTAGCTCTACCTCCATAATAGCCCATGCCTCTGTAGCGCTCATCGTTGACCGAAATCGTTCACGTACCAAACTGTCACTCTTTGAGAATGCATTCGCTTCTCAACGATCACGTGCGGGTTTTTCGATCCCCAGATGAAGAAGTTTTGCTTGTTGCAGCTTCGTCAGCATCCTCTTAACTGCAATATTTCCCAATATTGTTCATTTGTAAATCGATTAATTTCGTTCCGCAGAGATACTCGTATGATATTGACTTTCTGTAAAGATTTCCAGCAGAAAAAAGGCTGTCACTGTTAAAATAACATATGAAAAAAGAAAACACAATATGGACCACCCTTTATGTACTTAGTAGGTATTCGCCAACTAACCCTGCTGCGTCAAGTGAGTGCCAAGCGACTCTTTCATTGACTGCGCGACCGCTGTGAAAGAGTTTGAAGAGTTAGAGTACTCGATTTTTCTTTGCCGCCTATGGGCAATTCAATCTGCAGTTATTTGCATTTCTTTGTTCATGATTGCCGGCTATTCAGGCAGTTAGTTAGTCAGTCAATCACTTGTGTGTGTGTGTTTTTTTTTTGTTGATCATAAACATCTTACATTGAAAATTGTTCGATTAGTCACACAATTGTTTGATCGGCAGTTCGATCTCTCTTTCGATCTTTGATCTTCCACCTACATACATATATACATACATATATTTCACTTTTCATCGCCACTAGATTGGCATTGGATCCGTATTTTTTCGCTTCACACTACTTATATTTATATATGCGTGTCTGTCCCTTCTTCTTTTTCTTCTTCTTTATAAATATTTGTTACTTAATCAGTTTTAATTTTTTTCTTATTTGACGGTTTTCTTTTTATTTAATTTTATTTCTGCCATCCGTGCACTTGAATGGTTTCTTGCCGTATTCTATATACTTCTACATATTCTGGTAAACAAATTTATGTACATACATACATAGGTATGCAAGTCCCTTCATGTGCACCTCTGTCGCAAAGGTAAATTTTTAAATCGGCATAAGCACGCCTTTTTTATGTTCACAAAAAAAACTTTTAATTCTCGTTTTCTATGACTCAAAATTTGGTACTCGCCTGTGCGGTGTTTGTTTCTTCTTTTTTTTTTTGCAAAAACTCAGTTAAATGTCAAATTGATATTTTAATACCAATCGCGAAACATGAGACATACATTTTTCATTCACCTGATCAATGAGTTGTGAATGACATAAAATAAGTTACAAAAGGGTGACACAGAGTAGCCAGATCTGGCACTTTCCTATTTTTTTCTCTTCGGGATTCTGATGAAAAATTAGTTGTCTAAAGAGAGTAGTAGAGTGGTATAATCTATTTGTCGTAGATTATCGTGCAGAGTTTCCTTTGCGTGTCCGAATCTGAGGTCTCTCCACGGCTGGATGGCATTTAGACTGGCAGCACTACAGCCGACTAGGAATTTGCTCTAGAGATCCATCGGTGGGAGATTTTACATTTCTTCCAGAAATTTGGTGGATGTAGTGTGCCCGTGGCAAGTAGGGAAGCCGTCCTGTGTACGCGTTCCAACTTGGCCCTGTAAAGGAGGATGGGTATTATGCCAGCTGTTACATCCAGTGGTTTTATTCCCCATTATGTTCAACACTCTCCACATTATCCTCTTTCTACATAATTGTCTTTTGTCGAGAGCTTTCCATCAGCAAAAAGTTCAGGCTTCCGGGCTGCTGTAGTATATTTCAGGCGGAAGTCGCTGATTTCAAGGAGGCGATGCAGTCACTGTTCAGCAGTGCAATGGCAGTTAGTGAGGTGAGAATTTATTGGCTATCAGGGCCCTAAGTTGGAGGTGGGCTTTAATTTGGTGAATGAATGTCTGATCTACGTCCTCGCCAGATAAGGAGCGACGGATGGAGCTATTGATCACATGTATACTCTCGGATAGATGGGACTCATGTCAGATCAGTGATAACTGGGCGAAAACCAGGACATCCTTCTGGCCGAGGGTGGACGGTGGCGATCGGGTGCAGTCCTCACATTTACAAAGCCGCAGCTCTGACTCTTGGTGATGGTTCTAACGGCTTACTGTCCAATAGGTATTCACGCAGTAAGGTTGAACATATAACTTAATCTGGTATGTCGGAGTTGCCTGGAAGATGGTGAGATGGCATCACTTCAACACTACCTTCTTAAGTGTCTACAGTTCGCGAGGCTAAAGTTGAAATACTTTTTCTCTCACATTCTTAATAGCCCCGAGAAGGTCTGGGTCATTGAGATTAGCCGAATTCGTAATTACATAATCGGCTCGTGGCGTTTATCCTTTAAGTATTGGGTGTCATTCAGAATTGTGGTATCACAAAGAACAATCTCCTAACTGCCTTAGTGAGTCCCTAACATCTGGGACTGTCACCTAAGCTAACTTACATATGTGCAAAAAATATTTAGAGGCGAAGCCTATCCTCTTATCATATCAACTTAGCAGAACTTAATAATGATACTGATTCCTCTGCTGTTCAAGCCCTTCCCTTCAGTCATATGAGCGATTTGAGAATTTTTTTACAAATTTATCTTATTATCGGATTCCCTATTTTCTCTCGCACCTCGCTATTTACATAAGAGTAGAGGCATAATTACCAATAGTAGATCGATTTCATTCTTAGCTGGTTCGTCTGCGTGATTTTTCCCAAAATCTCTATGTAACCAGAGGTCCACGTTACACTAATTTTAAATTGCCAAGTTAAGAAAGGAAAAAAATCCTTGAACGTACTTTTTTCATATTACCGATAAATATTAGTAGTCTGGCAACTACGTTGCAACTTACTCATCAAAGACACACACACACACACACCTTCTTTTCGAGTCGACATCACGACTTTTAAAGCGCTTACAATCGACTTACACGCATAAGCCTGCAAAGCATGAATATCAAATGACAATTCTACCAACAAAAAAAACTGCAATTCTTAACCCCCGACTTTAAATGTTTTTTCAAAGTTCGTAACATTTGTGGTACGTTTTTTATGGCTTGGATGCGTCGAACTGTCCCAGACTGCTACGTCGACAGCAGCTACCTAAAAATGGTGGACAAAATTGGTGTACCAAAAGTAATATGAGGCGCGGCTGCAAAACAAATCGTCTTTTTTTTCAAAGTGCTAAAGTTACTGCGCAGGCAGCTACTTGAGCGCAATTGACAGCTTTTAAGTTTGCGTTTGAATTCCTCCATGCTTTACGATTTTTGTATGCCTCGTTTGAATTTCGCAGCTCAGGAAATTAGGTCAGAAGTTTGTTTGGTGTCTGGCTGGGAAGAGAACACTTAAGCAAAATACTACTCGAGCTTTTGTTTTTTTGCACTTCGTATGCTTGATTTGCGTTTGGGGCAGCAACTTCACGGCATGCGGTATATTGCGATTTATTGCTGCCACTCAAGAGGAACTTCCACTTATTTTGTTTATAGTTTTATAATTTTTTTTACACTTTTTGTAGTTATGTACTTTTTTCACGCATTTTGTTAAATAAAACACGCCAACAAATACAAACTACTCGACTTGATTGCTTTGTTGCTACTTTCGAATGCATAAACACACGCCTCGGCGCGTCAGCTGGTCAGCGTTTGCGCGCTTTACTTTTCCTGTGCCTTTTGCATTTGACACGTGACATGGGATTTCACTTTAGACGTCAGCGCATATCATTTTTCCTGCGCGTGTACGGTAAACGCATTGCAAACGCATGCAGCGGATGAACATGCTTGTGGCAGGCAGGCCGCGACAGGCGGAGAGTCGGATCTCCTTAGCGGGCCTGCACTGCTATGCAGCCATATAGCGCCAGAGGCAAGCGTTACTCCAAACACTCAATTCACGCGGGTTGGCTGGCAGCCGCAGAAGAAGAAAAATCGGGGGCACATGTCAATTTGGCGCATCCGCACAGTCAGCAAGCGAGGACGCGCACCTACCACTAAGCAAACACCGAAGTCTGCAACCAAGAAAACTCCAAGAAAAAATTGCGCGTACGCCCAGCTATGTACGAGTACGCCGTCACAAATGGAGTCCCGGGTGGTCGCCGCCGCTGATTGACTTGGCCGACAGCCAGTAACTTGCTACATGCCTTCAAACATGCGTCGCGTTGTCAGGTTGGCTCAACCACTTTCCAACATAGAAGCAGATAGAAGTTGTAAGCACTATTTGTCGTTTGTGTCTGCGCGTGCGCAGTTACGCGCGCATTGCACGTAAATTGATTTTTAATTGTCGCCATATTTTCATTAATTCACAGCCATTAAGTCCATAAGCGTATTGTGGCGCACCATTAGCCATACATTATATGCACTTTTACCAACAAACCCACCTTTTCTCACTAGATTTTTTGCTATTTTATTGTTGTCGTTGTTGCACACAAGTACCTGTATTTTGCTCGATTTTATGGGTGACTGCTATGACAATTTAGTGTTGTTGACTGTCATTGTTCGCGCTGGTGCTGCTGCTTCTTTTGCGCCTGCGCGTCTTTTATTCAGTTATTTATGTATGCGCCGGTGACAGTTTATACATTTGCGTC